TTGCTGTGTGGGGCTCACACATCTTGCCCCTGCCTCCCACGACATCCATTGAAGATTCCTTTTTCTTGAGAGGCTGGTGGTAGCATCTATCTTCAGAGAGTGTTGAAGACAGAGGCAGGTACAGGGGCTGAGTCAAAGCTGCCAGCTGGAGACAGGCCATATCAGGACTCTTCTTCCCTTGTGCAGTTTCAGGCAAGTGTTTGAGGATGGTACAGGTGGTATGTGTGTCTGTGCACAGGTAGGTGCGCACATGGATCCTGGGATGGACCCCTTAAAATGGGGACATGTTTGTTTCCTGATTGGCCCACAGAAATGAGAAAAACAAACAAACAAAAAAGGAAACTATGTGGCCCATTTCCAACCTCCCACCTTCTGAGCATTATGCAGACCCAGGAATATGTTTTTCTACCCTTCGGGGGGCTCTGGGTCTTCTTTATCAACTGTCCTAACCAGGGGAGTGCCACCTGCAGCAGCTTCATTGATGGTGCGACTCTTCTGTGTGGGGTCCACTGAAGGACAGGCCGGGGCAGGGTGGGGTGCTCTGTCTCCTCACAGTTGGGACCCTCCCTTTACCATCAGCATCTTTTAGTCGAAAGTGGTGTTTTGAACTTATGATCACAAATCTCCAGTTTAAAGCATCACAATCAGCATTAAAAAACTAACTGGGGGGGGAGGGCTCTGAGGTGGGCCCAAGTGGGCCAAGGCACTTGTCCCCAAGCCTTATGACCTGAGTGTGAACAGAAGGACTTACATGGCGTTAGGAAGGAACTGACTCTTGCAAATCGTCCTAATTTAATCTCCACGTGCACCTGACACATGGGCCCCACTTCAAATAAAATAAATAAGTAAGCAAAATAAAAACAAGTAACAGAAGCTGGACATGGCGGAGCACGTCTGTAATTTCAGCACTCGAGAGGCAGAGACAGAGGCGGAGGGATTAGGAGTTCAGGTCATCCTCAGCTACACAGCGAGCCTGAGGCCAGCGGAGGTTACTGGAGACCCTATTCAAGGGAGGAGGGGAGAGCCAGCTCCAGAGAGACCCAGGCTTGCTCTGGCACAGCGGCATTTGCCTGAAATCCTAGCACCTGGGAAGCTGAGGGAGGAGACATTCAAGTTTGATGCTAGCTTAGACTACACAGCAGAAACCCTGCATTAAAATTAATAAACAGAGTCAGCAAGTTGGCTTAGTAGGTAAGGGTGCTTGCTGTCAAGCTGAACAAACTGAGTTTGATCCCAGGGACCACATGGTGAAAGGAGAGAACTGACTTTTGCAGAGTGTCCTCTGACCTTTGTTTTGTTTTTTTGAGACAGGCTTTCTCTGTATTCCTTTGGAGCCTGTCCTGGAACTCACTCTGTAGACCAGGCTGGCCTCGAACTCACAGAGATCTGCTTGCCTCTGCCTCCTGAGTGCTGAGATTATAGGTGAGCACCACAAGGCCCGCTGTCTTCTGACCTTTACACTTTGTGTTATGGCACGTGCATGCACGTGCTACATGCGTGTGCACAGTACACACACACACACACACACACACACACACACACACACACTCAGAATACATAAGTAATTAAAATCATTTAAAAAACCAAATAGAACAGAAATGTCAGAGCACATTACCTGCCGGGATTCAGTATTGATGTGTATGTGGTGGGTATGTGTGTGTCATGTATTCAACAGGTTTGGGAACTTGCTGGGAGCCCTTACCATAACTATAATTTTGCCCAGTGTCCCTCCTTTGGCAGTATTAATGTGTTTTAGTGGGCGAATGGTCAGCTCACTTCAGCCCACATCAGACCCACAGGGGCAGGTGGCTTCTGCTCCAAGAGCTGTCATTTGAGGCGCTGGGCGGGGCCTGATGACACCTGTTTCCAGGCCTGAAGCCCCTAACACCAGTCAATGAATGCCTTTCCTCTTAGGACAACAGATGGGAGCGGCTTTCTGGGCGGTTGCACTTGGGTGAGTCATATCGAGATCTGCATGCATGTCTCCCTAAAATGCAGCAAACTGGCTATGTCAGGCCACACAAATTCCTGAGAGAAATTTCTTTGTCCAGAAACGGTATGAGCGTGTTGTTCAGCGTTGCCATAGGGAACAGCCAGCTTTGCTTTTGGAAATGCCCAGAGGAGAACGCTCTGATTGGTTCTCTGCGCTGCTCATCACGTCTGCCCAGCAACTGGCACTGCGGCGTCCAGAACACCCGCCCCCAAAGCCGTGGCCCTGTTTGGGGCAAACTTCTTTATGCTGTCCGCCCTGGTTCCCCAAAGCAGGGGGCATGGAGCTGAGTGGGAGAAGTCCTTGGGCTGGCGAGAGAGCGAGAGAGGAGGGGGACGACCAGGAGCTGGGCTCCCCCGCAGAGGGCTCCACGCTGGTGGACTCAGCCTACTCCTTGTGAACCAGGCTCAGTAGCGCTTTGGCAGCGAATAAAAGGAGGCGCCGTAGGCAGCCGTAGGCAACCCCGCGCACGGGTCTTTGTACCTTCTGCCTTGTGGCGTTTTGAAAGAATCCGAGTAGTGCAGCCCAGGCAGGAGAGCCTTTCTGGGTTTGGGCAGCGCCTCTGCGCAGGCAGTGCGCCCTGGACGAGGCCCCGGCGCACCGGGGTAGGGGACAGGGGCACCCCGAGCCTTCTGGGTCACCCAGGAGGGCGGAAGGGAGGCCCGTCTGACCAGGGGTCCACAGGCCGCTGCAGAGGCCGCCGAGGCGGGACTGTCGCTCTAGCACGGTCCTTCCCAACGGTGTGAACTCGGAACCGAGCTCGGCCTTGTGGCCCAGGTGGGGGCGCCACCGGCCTAGCCGAGTCCGGCTAGCAAGGCCGCCGCCTGGGCCCCGGGACAGGCACCTGTTGGCCAGAGCATCCAGGCATGCCCTGCCAGACTCTCTAGGCCTCGAGAACATTCCACGAGCCACGCTGCGCAGCGGCGGCTGACTTGCTGCCTCTGCTCGCTGCAGACTGGCACGTGGAGGGGCAGTGACAGGCTGGTCACACCGCGGCCAGCCTCGGCCTGGGGATCCTCCGAGCTTCCTGCAGAGGGGAGCTGACT